AATAGCTAGGTAAGCGGAGATGATTACTGCTAAATCACGACCATATTTAAAACTCAATGTTATAATCATGGGTTTGTCGGACAGCCTATGGAATCTTTCTTTATCGTTAAGTGTAATTTTGTAGCTCCAAGACATTTTGAAGGGTGAGATTTAAAAGGGTGTAAAATCAGTGGTTTGGAAAAACACCGAAACATATTACAGATTATTTAAATTTATTTTGATATCGTAAGGATTTTAATCTTGTACTAAATATACACACGCATGGGCTATTAAAATTACTATTGAGGATGTAATTGAAAAAAAGATACAGGGAAATCACGCACTCCTGTAAGCCACAACATAGTGTGAACATTCAACGATTGTATATCTGCATTTACCAACTTCAGGTGTGAACACCCCTATCATTTGACCACCATCAGATATAACCGGAGTCTCGATATTTGTGGGAGTAAAATCTGATACGTGATAAAACCACTTACAGCTTTATAGCAGAGGGCTGACCCCATAAAAGAACTGTAAAAGTGCGGAATTTTACAGCCCAAGAACGAGCACCAGTCGCGGAAACGCCACTTCACTCACATCCTTCGTAAATCTCGTCTGGAGTAACGAAATGTATCGTAAATTGTAATTAAGTCTGGGTGGAGCCAGAAGAATAAAGTGACGTTGAATCGAAGTTAAACTTTTAATAACTAACTAAACTTACCTCCCCATTGTTGGAAACAGTTAATTTCTTCCGAGGAGGATTTATTTTTAAATATTGTCAAGTTGGGTCAAATATCAATCAACTATTCCAACCTCGAAAAGAATTCCACGATGAATCTCAACATAAGTTCTGATGTCACCAATATATCTGGTGTGATGTACTCTTGGATAAATAAGTTGTTTCCACTCTTGGACGCATACATGGATAACCAATTATATTGTGTAATCAGCAGATTTATGTAAAATTTAAATACATAAGATTCAATTGTCAGTCTCATTGTGAGCAAGTTTGTAAATATGACCAAATTTTATCCTACAACAATTGTTACAATTTCAATTTTCATCGTATTCGAAAGCTCAGTGAGAATAGCCAACTTACAACATAGTCAACGATCCAAAAGTAAATTATTAATATCAGGACAAATATATAAAGGGGTTTATTGAATAAGAATATAGTTCAAGTCCAATAGTTTTAATTAAAAGAGAAATCAAACATTCACGCTTTCAAACATGCGAACAGTTAAATGCAAATCCATTTCTACCTCCAAGCCTGAATTGAAAGATTTGCGTGATCCTTTTCATTCACCTTAAACCCTCCCGTTAACCCACATTCCGCAAAAATTAGCTCACACCAGGGTCCCATTTGTGTTTTTTCAGCGCCGTTTGGGCCCCCTCTTTCTTGTCGAGCATAATTTTCCCATTTGCTATCAACCATTACCCCAACCACAGCATTACAAGTAGTAATGCCCTGAACACTGTGAAGCCGCGCCGTATAAAGTGTGATAATAAGGGGGTCGGAGGAATATGATATTTTTATGCGCAGTAGAACCACTTAGGAAGCAGTTGTCAGTGGCTGGACCTGATGTACGGAACCGAAGGTGTCTTGGGTGGACGAGCCGTAGGGGACTCGCAGTTTAGACTAACGAGGCAGAATAGCCTTTAATTAGCGAAAATATACCTTTTAATATTAAAAAAAATAAGATTTATCATCTTTTTGGTGCAACTGAAGACTAATTTAAGGTTGGTTCCGTCTTCTTTTTTTGTTGAACTATGTTTATTTCATAGCTTTTCTATTATTTCACAACGATTTTACTTCTTATGATACTACGTTTCTATACCAGATACGTCTTAAAGCTGCACAGTCAACGTTGATTCAAACAATCCGGACATCGCATGCATCAGAAGACTTCGTTTCTGAGAAATGATCCAGAGCATTCTTCCAACTCGTCCGGCGAATTACTGATCTAATTATTGACATAAATCTGCCGTCAGGCGAGCCGCTTCTTGGTGACACTGATGGCGACCAAGCATGAAAAGAATCTCTTCAAAGTTTCGTCTGGAGATTTTTCTACGGAAAGACTTGCTGATGCCCTTCCTTGTGCGAGTATTCCAACTAGGGTTCATCTTAAACAGGCAAAGATTATCGTTGTATGATGAGTTTATCCTATATAGAGACAGACTACTTGGAAGCTATGAGGAAACTTGTAATTCTAGTAAACCACAGCGATAAATTATCTTTCGTGGAACTGCAAGGAAAGTAAGATGAGGGACTCGTAACAATATATTCCAGTGATTATGATATCCGTAATCTATATAATTAATACGCTACAATAAACTTTGTCGGTTGAACTCCTCCGCCATTTCTTAACCGATTTTATCCATTGACGTCTTATTGGAAAGAGCGTGTCACGTAGATTTGCAAACTGGCCTTACATTTTTGAAAAAGTCCCTTGGGCTCTGCCCCAGTGGCTTTGAAAGTTCCCATGTTATCCTTATGAAGAACATAATTGTTTACATTTTGATCAGCTGTATAATTAAATTACTGTTATTTGAACCAATTTTATACATTGACGTCTCATTGGAAAGAGTGTGTCGCGTGGATTTGCAAACTGGCCTTACGTTTTTGAAAAATTTCCTTGGGCTCTGCCCCAGTGGCTTTTAAAGTTCCCATGTTATCCTTTTGAAGAACATAATTGTTTACATTTTGATCAGCTGTATAACTTAATTGATGTTATTTATTTTCGAAATCAATGAAATGATGAAACGCATTGGGTACATTTACAGTTAGTTGAAATTAAATATTTACTATTATTGAATTTTGGCATTGACTATTGGATACTGAAGTATTAATAGTCAAAGATTTGGGTTTGCGTACTTATTAAATGTAAACAATCCAGAAATCCTGGACAATTTTATATATTACACCAAATAAGAAAAATGAATTGACATATAGTACTGTATTTCTTAAGCAATCATTGAAAGGACCGAGTTGTTAACTAGAGAAACATAGGAAAACCATTGAACGCCACCAAGTAAAAGAAATAGCGATTAAGTTCTTTAAAGAATTTACTATTCTTATTAGCCTATATATAATGAAGAACACCTACAATATGAAGATTCCTACAAACAATGAACGATGATGATAGCCAAAGTGCTACTATTTTTGTAGGAAACATGGACCTTACTTTGTGATAATTGCAGAGGAAAGCCCTCTAAGACTAAATAAAACTGGTACGGCAAGGAAATTAATTTGTTTAACAGTCAAGTAATTTTAGAAGAATATGACAACATCCAAGAAACCTGTATTAAAACTTTTTTGTAGGATTTAACAATTATCTTTGACTATTAATACTTCTGTATCCAATAGTCAATGCTATTATTCACTTTTAAGAGAAACAAAATCCATCTGAACAAAATTAAGGCCTTTTTTCAACTCCGCATTTTTTCTTTGGTAAATAGAATTTACGTTATAACAATAACTAACCAAAGTAATGCCAATTGAAGCAAATAAAAATTGTGACAGAGATGTTATGCAGGAAATCAGGTAGTTCTGTAAAAAAATTCATTTCTACTAAAAAATGACTGAAATTTGTTAACATACTGGTGACAATGGGTGGTACCATGAAGACAGACTACATTATCATTGACGAAGATCAACATGGACAACCTAATGCGGCTATATGTGGGGAACATTTGTAGAACACACTAAAAACCACATCAGCTTTGGAAAATGATTAACTATTTACAAGAAATTTTGATTATATGTAACTGTTATGTACATTGTGAGTAGTTCCATTAGTTAAATAATGTTTGAGTTGACTCTTTTAAACTCATCGTGGATTATGACGGTTTCGTTTTTAAATACGTTATCTGTTGTTAAATAACTCCTGTACTTCTTTGCAATTGCTCGATTTCGAGCAACATGTACACTAGTTTGTAACTAAATGATGATGCGAAATTAGAGGGAGATTAATGAGAATCCTGATTGGTAGTAAAAAAATATATCAGGTTTAAAAACAGTTTTGCACCAGTAACAAATATATATTATTTTTATGTTCCCAAGGAGCTATTGTATGCTTCCCAATAACCAAAGCCTAATATCCACCTTAATATCCTGAGTAGCCCCGTAGTAATAATGCTCACCCGAATCATCGTATTGCTAGGTCGATCGGTAGTATGGTCGATTCTGCCGTTTGTCACTGCGCTATCGTTGTATGTGATACAATCTGACAAAATCTCGACATTACAGATAAACCGAGGATGGACCATTCGCTAACAAATAACGCAAATAATCCCTACACCTTGTAGCGGTTGACTTGGGTTATTAAACAACCGCAGTCCCAACAATGTACATCAAACGGCATCAATAGGAATTGATTCAAGATAAATATTGACACAGAACATAATGGGCCAAACGAACCGTGGAGCAGAATTGGCAATCAATAGTTCATATCGATGGGTCGATTTATATTCAAACGAGTGCCATTCAACGGGTGATATCGCGTTATAACAGCGCTACAAACGAGTCCTGAATGTGAACAGTAGTTGATTTACGCTGTCGAAGGACTATCAGCTTCCATTCATGGGGACATTAGTACACGTCCGGCACAGTGCCAGAATGGGCTCGCCCGCTTTGTTCCGACCTCACGGGGTACGCAACATATCAAGATACTTTCATGTCTCTGACTTATCTGAGATCGGCGCAGCGTGATTTCGGCTCCTTTCCCACCTCGCGTGAGGTTCCCGGTGTTTTATTGTACATTTGAACACTCCAGTTTATTGAGTTGTACAAATTTAGCTCTGGAATATATTGGATGTGTTGAAACTTGGAGAATGAATGTGAACGTGTTGTGTGTAATGTATTGTATAAAGGCTTTACCAATGCTAGAGAACAGTCCAATTTGGATTCCTACTTCCATAAGGTTCACATTTTTGGCCTACCTAGGTATATGTTGGCCTCATAAGTGCTATTGTGTTGTTACTGTCTACTTTACAGTGTTCTCGTTTCTATGTTCCAGATGATGGTAGGACAGGAGATGCATGTGCGGTGGAGGCACCATCAGGCCGGCCTGTTGGCCTACCTAAGGCAGATGTTGGCCTCTGAAGTGTTCGTAGATGTAACGTTGTGTTGCCAAAACAAAAAACTCAAGGCACATCGCGTCTTAATGTCTGCATGCAGCCCTTATCTGCAGGTTAGTACAGATTTATACCAGGAATATACAGAATTGCATGCATTCTAGATATATTAAGTGCAATTGTATAGTTGTTATTTTACTGGAAAGGTCTACTTAAGTAATTTGAAATATAATCCCATGTTTTGTTAGCAAACTTAAACTGTATTTTAGTAATTTGTTGGCCATTAACAAGTGGCTCTGAAATTTAGTTCTAAGTTAAATGCATAGCTAAATCAATGCACAGTTTATAACTAATGAGTTTTAGTTATTGTTTATCACTAATTGTTTTAGTGAGTGTGTTATTATTATTTCCAGGCAGCTGAATAAACCTTGTAGCGGTTTTACCACAAAATGATTGTATTATTTCATCGCCATACTGCCAAACACTTTTGGTCTTTCGAGCCGGATTATTTTATTTGGTCACAAAGTTTGGCTTTATCAGGGTCATTATTAAAACTACTTCTGGGTGAAATACCATTCTACGCATCGTAATCTTCTTCAAAAGCAATATAAAAATAATACAAGTATATTCACATAGCAATCCAAAATACAGCCGTATTATTAACAAAAAACTGTGTCGCAAATTGTCACAAAACAACGACAGGTAACATAAAGTGGTATTGTATTATTCGCTAATATCCTTATAGGCTGTGCAAATGCATTTTGGTTCGCATTGACGTGGAAGCTCAAAAGGCGAAACTGTTAGCGAGCTGTCACGAAGGCGTGTTAATGTGTTTATGAAGGAGATGTTAAACAGCACTTCTCCACTTCGAGAAGTTGACACTTGTCATAGAGGCACTCCTTGTGTTTGTTTAACAGGAATTCCAACCGGACAACAACTGCCGTTTCCTGAATATAAACATTCTCTAAAAACTCGATTTAACTTTTGGATTGAAATTTTCAAGTTATGAAATACTAATTGAATACAAATCGTTCACAGTAAACACCCTAATCAATTAGATGTCCAGTAGACAACTAACTGTATCCCACTAAGAGGAATCCCCTTTCCTCTCACTTTTTGCTATAAATTGATATACATTACTACTTCAAGTACTTCAAAGTTACATGAATAAAAAATGTGCAATACATTTTGGACAGACGATTCAACCCGCCTCCAAGAACAGTGAAATGTTTTAGTACTATCAATATCATCTTATAGTAAACAACAAGATATTAAATTATTGGTTGCGTAGAAAATCTTCCTACTACTTCGTGGGTTAACCTGGGTCACAAATTCTACATTGTTCCAAGCACCATAAGTTACACAAGCTCATAACAGGTTGGAGTCCTATGGGCCAACTCAGCTAGTGCTATTTTAATTGGCACCCAGAGATCGCAAAACTAGAGACTCCTGCGTAGGTAATTTGTGAGCGGCGGCCTTGTAATCAGCATACATCTAGGTGTGAAAACCGGGAAGATTTATCGGTATCAGAACGAACTGCTTCTATCGGAGAAAGCTGATTCAGGTAGCGTCAGTCCCATTCAAAGCGGCAGCGGCATCCACAACTGTGGCGTACCCCAAGGATACACTCTTGGTCCCTTATTTTCTGCGACAGATGAATAATGATCGGATAAAGTCGTCCGGCTATGATTTAGGTGGCGGAATGATTTAAAGTTCAAGGAGACCCACCCGATTTTACGAAAGCCTCAGATTACTAGGAAGTATTAATTTGTTTTCCCCCCGGATGACTTATGCACAAAGTGTCAAAGGGTCATTATTTTAGGCGAGTAAATTACACGTTGAGTCTAATGGGATGCAGAGTGTGTTGATGCGTAGATGGCGTCATTGAATAGAAGATGGTTAACTTGAGTGATTATCACTATTAGAAGACTTAGACAATCGCTATTTGTTTGGTGATTATGTATTCACAGAGTGGCCATGTAACAATAAAATTGTGAAAAATCACATAACGCCCCATGAAGCCTTGGCATCACCAGGAAATAATGTGCAGTATATATTATTCTCACTAAAGTAAGACTCTCAAGTATGATTGGTGGCGATTTATCATTAACTATTTGTGACCAAACACCATTTTATTCAAAGCTATACATTATAATTTGTTAAAACATTTGTATCTAAACCAATAGCAAATTATTTGCTTCAAGTTTTAACTTTTAAATTTCCTCCAAATCAAAATTTTCGTTTTGTAACCATTTATTTGATTAGTTACTGACTGTTATGATTGGGGCTTCTTAAATTCAAAATATAAAATGTTATTCGTTTTACTCTGTATAAGAAACAAAACTTATATAAACATAAAGTTAATGATATGTTCACTTATTTTAGTTGTGGTGATCATAGTAACTTTACATTTCATCATTAACTATTTGTGACAAAACACCATTATATTTAAAGCTATATATCATAATTTGTTTTTTAAAGTTTTTTTTAAACCAATGGTAAATTATTTGCTACCAGTTTTGACTTTTAAATTTCCTTCAAATCAAATTTGTATATCCTTTTATTTGGTAAGTTACTGACTGTTATGATTGGGGCTTCTTAAATTCAAAAGTTAAAATGTTATTTGTTTTACCTGTATGCAATGAAATACTTAGATACAACTGATTGAATTAGCATTGCACTAAGAAATAATGTGTTTTGAACCATTACCAACCACAAATCACTACTAAGATAGCCATACTAGATAAGTATTATCAATTCAAATCCTCCAATCGCGGATCTAACTTCTCTAACTCATTCCGTATTAGGAAGCAATTTACAAAACTTTGCCACCAAGGCCAGCACAGATTGCTCTATTACGATTCTACTACACGTTCTCGTACTCGTATTTCACTTCTCAGTTTTAGCTTGTAAGATTTACAGCGCCAATTAGGGGAAATGTCAAGGACGTGAGCGTGTAGTGTGACAACTGATTACCATCCGTGGTAACGCGGTACACGTGGTGGTAACAGCTCGAGGTGCTCACGATCATAGTAGGAGGACGTTCAATGGGATTGGCCCCCAGGGTATTGTCAGGTGTCTTCTTCTTTTCGTGAATGTTCAGTTGCTGGAGGGCGCCCTCTTGGTCTGGTCAGATGTTGCAAGGCTTGTATTTTGGTTGATTTATTAAGCTATTTGTTGATATTATATATTCTATATGCTGAATTAAAATGTTTACACCTTCGATTTAAAACGAACAGAAACTGTAAGAATAGATTATTAATCAAGGCTGGACCATATACATTAAAACCAAACTTAATACCCAACTATTGAACATTGTATGTTACTATTGTATGTTTTAGAGGTTTGCCACTCAATGTACTGTTTATTGAAGCGTGATTTTTTTCATAATAATAATGTGCCTGTCTGTATGTTCACGCAAAATTTAATGGAACCGGCATTTCGTTTAAAGATAATCTTTGTAACGAAACAGGTACATTGCCATTTTGATATATGGATTTGCTTCAGAGTTTGAAGGATTAGATATTGGAAGTAAAACCAGATTGGCTTCCAGATAAGAAATTAAAATTACAAAAAACTGTCCAACCAAAAAGTCGTATGGTTAGTTTTAGTAGCAAAGATTAAAATAATTTTCTCTGTCATATTATGTTTTCTGGAAGTTAAGATACGAAATATATTTTATTTATAGGCCTACTATAATTCATTTCGATGCATATTCTCTTTCAAAAACACACTTTCTTGTGCCAACTTTAAAGTTCTCCCATCCCAATAATTTGTTCACAATAATAAAAATTTGTAAATTAATACATTTGAATACATTGCATATGAATTTCTTGTTTTCGTTCCAAACTATTTAGTACTATGGCAATTTTACAACAATTTGTTTGATATTACAATACAAACTACATGTATATAATTAGGCCGACCTACTGCGACGGCCGGTTCACAGCAGGACCCGGGGACGTTGATCGTAAACATGTCAACACGCACCGGTCAAGGTTGAACTGACTGCTTGTGAACCGGGCTTTGAACACTACAAGTTTAGTTTTCAATCAGTGTAGTAATACACTAAATCCTTACAGTCTAAATAGTGTTAAAACAAAGCGCTACAAAAATTTACAATTTGATTAGTTTATTTAAAATGACATTGATTTTAATTAATACAAATTTTTCTTTACAAGTTTTTTTTTTACAAAAACAGCTAAAACACTAAGTGTCTTTGAACAATACATGATCATTTTCAGGCATTTGAATATAAAATGCATAGATAGCCAATCTTTTAACTGTTTGAATTGTTTTTTTTTAACTTTTTATATTTCGTTGTTATTTTGTCACCAGCATTGCAACTCATAAAACCCATGTTATTTTTTTTTATTTTAAATTCCTTTTTGTGCTTATATTTGAGCCTATTTTAATTTATAAAGGTATTATGCACATCTACAGGTAAATATCTTGTTAACAGATTGCCTAGATTTTCCTTGCGATGCACACGAGATGCGAAAAAGGTTTGAAAGAAACAATGCTTGCCTATAAATATATAGGTACACGCTAATACTCCAGTTGTCCTACCGATGCAAGATGAAGCAACGGTCTTCTTAGAAGATTTTACAATACTATATACCACTTTATGCGTTTAATTCATAACACAGCCAAGCTTCAACTTCACACATATTAAATTTTACATAATACCTGTTAAAAATTGAAAATCTGGAATCATAAATCCTGGAAATAGTTAAAATATGTGCGCCATGCGTGTAATCATAAAATTTAATTAGTCCCTCCTGCTGGTGAGGGTAGGGGCGGCAACAAGAAGCTGTGTACTCAATTAAACTCTTCTCTTTACCGCCTCACTAATGCGTTGAACTAATTAAAACCGTTCATCACCGAGCAAAGTTCAGCCGTCATCTCCAGGTAGAAATAACAACGTATCAATTAAATAGTGGATCCCGCCCGATGACTTGCTGAGAACTGCTATAATGATGCGGCGGAAAGGCGTTGAACTTGCCACATATTTCCGTTATTGACACTGCGATCTTTTTTCCGTCTGCGACATTTTCCGCGGTAATGGTCCCATCAGGCTATCTTAAGGATGTAAGTGGCACCGTACTAGAGGTGT